CCTTAATTAAGGCATATACCTTAAACTACAGAAGCCTTAATATTATGATTTAACATTATATTATGATTTAGGGTATATTCCTCAAATTAAGGGGTATTGGGTTCTCCGGGAACCACAAGAGTCCTAACCCCAAACCCAAACCCTAACCCCTAACCCCTAAACCCTACACCCTAAACCCTAAACCCTAAACCCCTAAACCCTACACTCTAAACCCTAAACCCTAAACCCCACAAGAGTCCTAGATCCCCAACAGCGCCGAGTTTCAGCGTCGCCGAGACCCCATGTCGGGCCGGGGATGTCCCAAAGCGGGATCGGACCATTCCTGGCCGTCGAAAGCCAGACTTCGGGTTTGGTTTAGGGTTTAGGGTTTAGGGTTTAGGGTTTCGAGTTTTAGGGTTTAGGGTTTAGGGTTTTGGGTTTCGGGTTCCGACTTAGAGTCAGGAATAGAACCATAGAATTTTGCGCTATGGCCTGCAGGGCAAAGGCATAAGGCTTCTTCTGTATAAATGGAAAAGGTGGGCTCTCTGAGTGACAGTTCATGACACCGCAAGACCTCATGTGAAAAAGCTCACCCTCTGATGATTTTCGATGAACCTTGAGGCCAACATGGCGCCTTGTGGATGCAGCAGGCCTGCATATTCAGTGGTGGAGCCTTCAGACGTTCAGGGCTTCATTCCGGGTTTCGGGACCTTTGCCCACTCAACTCTAAATCCACAAACTTCTGCCCGTAACCCTAGGTACCCTAAACCCCAGACCCTAAACCCTAAGCCCGAACACCCAAGCCGGAAACCCTAAACGTTAAGGACCAAATGACCCTTAAAAGTAGGGGCCCTGCCCCATACCCTACAATATCTTTGCCGGTGCGGAGCCTATGACGCCAATGTCCTGCTCCTCCTCCACCAAAACCTGAAGCTCCTCCGAAGGTTCGGGTCAACAGGGCATTAGGGTTTAGGGGTTTCGGGGTGCAGGGTTCAGTATGTAGGGTTTAGGGGTTTAGGGGTTAGGGTTTAGGGTTTAGGATTCCCCCAGCACCCTGAGCCACCGAACCCCAAGGCGTACCCTGCATCGTAGGTTCGTCCTAGCCAGGCCGGAGGCAAAAAACAACCTGGGCCCGTAGTTTCGCGTCTCGGGAGCAACCCGAAGCGATTCCTAAACCCTAAACCCCTAAACCCTAAACCCTAAACCCTAAACCCCAAACCCAGCGATTCCTTGTTTGGGGAGTTGAAGACCAATCGTTGCCCAGGGAGCCTGTGCTGTCACGAAGAAGACGCAGAAGAAGTGGTTTGGGGTTTAGGGTTTAGGGGTTCTTACGGGTTCAATCGTGTATAGGGTTACGAGGGCCTGAGGGGTTTAGGGATTCTTCAGGGCTTAAGGGCTTAGGGTTTGGGGCTTCGGGTGTAGACTTTAAACCTTAAGGGTTTTACTAATCCACTTGCCCAGCCGCATCGAATCAATGACAAGCATAGGAAGTATGGGCCGCTCGCGCAGCTCGTTGATGCGGGACTGCAGCACCTGGTCTGGTGTGCAGAAGAGGGCCCTTCCCCTAGATCATACCTACTTTAGGGGTCGCAAATCTGAATAATTATGAATACTACGGGGGCCTTAATAATTAGAATAGGTTTCTGGGGCCCATTATACTATAATTCTATTAAGGAACTCCAGAACAGTATTGGCAATTACCTAGGCCCCTACAGTAAGTACCTAAACCCTGAACCCTACTTTGGGCTACTTGGAGACGCAATGGATTTCGAGAGAGTGACTGCGAAGCAACGTTACTTTCATCGTCCATTCGTCCATGCTTTCATTCATGGTTTAGTAGGGGCTAAACCCTAAACCCTAAAACCTAAACCTAAACCCTAAACCCTAAAGGGTTCAGGGTTTCGGGGTTTAGGGGTTCAGGGGTTTAGGGTTTAGCATCAAGAGCTGCCTGGGAGCCAACTCTCTCAAACAGATCTGTCAAGGTCCTTCGGTAGTATTATTCGGGGTACCCCTTCAAGGGTACCCCTTCTGAACCCTACTTTTGGCTCTCTTAAAAGGACCTTATTGAAAGGGCCTATATCCCCAAGGGTCCCCCTAATCCTAGCTCCCCTTCCCTTGCACATGCCCTTGGTCTTGGTCTTAGGCACAGGCTCCCAACCCTAAACCTTATAAACCCTAAACCCTAAACCTTATAAACCCTAAACCCTAAAACCTTATAAACCCTAAACCCTCAAGCGCTAAAGCCCTCACTGAAACCCAAAGCCCTAAAACCCTAAACCCTAAAGCGCTAAAGCCCTAAAGCCCTAAAACACAACGGTTTTGGGGCCCAGGAGGCACCTAAACCCTAAACCCTAAACCCTAAACCCTAACCCTAAACCCTAAACCCTAAGAGGCACCTTGAAATCGTCGTCATCGGGCTGAGATCGTCGCATGGTGCGCCGAAGTCTCTCCGGCGCCTTGGGGCAGTGCGAGGTCAACTCGGCAAACCCCGAGATCTACGAAAGTGTCTTAGGGGTTTAGGGTTTAGGGGCTTATGTTATAGTATATTGTAAGAATATGCCAAAGTATATCAAGTTGTCATAATTGTTTTAGATTTTTTTAAGGGTTTAGGAATGGCAAGCATGGCGGAAACAGGCAAGAACAGCTCCAGCCAGCCCTCACACTGAACCTTCAACGCTACACCACCGCACCCAAAAATCCACAGTCTACTTACTACAGCCCTGAACCCTAAACCCTAGACCCCTAAACCCCTAAAAACCCTCAACTCCTCAACCCCTAAACCTTTAAACCCTAAACCCTACAAGCCTAAACCCTGAACCCTCAACCCCTAAACCCCTAAACCCTGAACCCCTAAACCCTAAAAGCCTAACCCCTAAACCCTCAAGCCCTAAACCCTCAACCCCTAAACCCCTAAACCCTAAAAGCCGAAAGCCACCCTAAACCCTCAACCCCTGACCCCTGAACCCTAAACCCCAAAAGCCGAAAGCCACCCTGAACCCGAGGGCAAGTCGACAGGGCACACAGGAGGCCTTCAGGCTCCCGACGAAAGACGCCGACCTCCACTTCTTCGGGCTAGGGTCCCTTCAAAGGGATGCTTTAAGGGATTCTAGAGATTCTATATCCCCTTTAAGGTCCCTTTAAGGGATTCTAGAGATTCTATATCCCCTTTAAGGTCCCCTTAAGGGATTCTAGAGCTTCTATATCCCTTTAAGGTCCCCTTAAGGGGATCCTTCAAAGGATTCTATAGAGCTTCTATAGGGTTTAGGGCTTAGGGTTTCCTGTATTTTAAAAGGATGCTTTCAGGGATGGTTAAGGGTTTAGAGGTTTAGAGTGTCTTGAGCTTATTCTTTCGTGTTCCGTCAAGGATCTATGAGGATTCTGTAAGGCTATAGGGGATCTATAAGAATTTCGGGCTTGGAGTTTAGGGTTGAGAACCCCGAAGAATCGAAACCCCAACACCCCTGAACCCTAAAACTTATCTGCAAGCCGGGCAAGCATGTGTATGTATATATATATATATTTATTTATTTATATGACTACATACTTTATAATAACAAGGCAACAATCGGTGCGGCCTGGACCAGGGCAATGCCAACACCACGACGCCGAGGACGAGGAGACATCGCGCAGAGTGCAGTTTGCAAGCCATGGCTGGAGCGTCCCTGAAGCACCCAAAGACCCTTAAAAGGACTAAGGAAGGCCCTTAAATTAGGGCTTCTGAGTCTTTAGGGTTTAGGGGTTTAAAATGCAGATAACAGGAATCCCCAAAAAGGTATATGAAGCGTAAACCCATTTAGGGTCTATTTCGTCTTGAAGGTTCGCACGCAGAATACCGCGAAAGCGCTGAACTCGAAAGTAAGAGGGAACCCAGAGACTCCAATATTCCTTAGTTAAGGAACATTCCTTAAATTATAGTAGGATCCTTAATATGATTTAAGGTATATTCCTTATTTAAGGGATATTGGAGTCTCTGGGAACCCCCCAAAGACTCCAGCTCCTAGGTTGCAGGGCTTCGAAATCCTAGAGCCCAAAGCCCTTGAGATGCCCTGGGGCTTCTGGAAATATAGGGTTTAGGGTTTAGGGTTTAGGGTTTAGGGTTTAGGGTTTAGGGTAGGGTTTTAGGATTTGGGGCAAGGCCAAAACCCTCAACCTGGAAATCTTCCTAGGACTTTCTCCGTGCAGCTATCTCCCAAGTTCCGAAAATCGGATCAGCTGTCGCAGATGCTTCAGTCGGCCGTTGGAGGTGAACTGCGCCCTTTTGTGCTCCGCAGTCGGCTTTGTAGCACTGGCCAAAACGCATGAACTCAGAATACAAACAGCATGAAACCATTCTGACATGCCTTTAGACCCCTTATATAAAGCACTTGCAAAACCCTCCTGGACCCCTCAAAACACACTAAACCCTAAATTCTAGATAGAACCGTCGCAGCGCCCCGTCCCCTCAAAACCCTAGAAACCGAAACCCCTGTATGAATTCCTTTGAGATCTCCTACAGATCTCTTTTGGACCTTTGTTTTAACACCAAGCAAACAAAAGCCCATTGACACCCTGCACAGACCCCCACCAGGACCCCCCAAGTACCCTTTCACGGGCTCTTGAAATTTCTCATCAACAAGTAAAAGGGGCTACAATGAAATCTAGTTGGGTGGTCTACCTTAACCTACCAAAACCTACTTTTTTGTAGGGTCCCTCTAAATTCCATAATAGGGTTTATAATAAGAACCTACAAAAAACTAGGTAGGTAAGCCCTTGTCAAACGGCTCTTGGTCTCCGGCACCCCGGAGATCTTGAGTCCCAGAAGCGCCTGGCAGGGCCCGCTGCACGCGGACCTGAGATCACCGCACTTCCGAGGCTCTTTCCCTAGGGTTTAGGGTTTAGGGTTTAGGGTTGAGGGTTTAGGGTTTAGGGTTTAGGCTCTAAGGACCCATAGTTTTAAGGCTTTTGGGACCAAAGACCATCTTATTGAAGGCTATTGAGCTATTTTGAGCTTTAAGGTTTCTTCGAAATGGGCCGGTGTAATGTAGGGGCCTTAATCATAATTAGAATAGGGTTACCAGTTGTCCGCCATCTTGCCCTAAACCCTAAACTAGACACGAAACCACAAATCCTGAAGGGCTCACGAATCTGCAGAGAACGGTCGTGTTTTTCAACATTTTTGCGAAACTCAACAGGAGCATCACGTGCCATTACGTGCCTTCTGTCTGGCAGCTACGATCATCCGGAATCTAGTGCTGTACCCAAAGCGCTTGTGGCCGCAGGATCAACCACAGCAACACTTGCAAGCACATGAGAAGCACCATTCAACAAAACCGCAGATCGTGTCAATGGAGGCTTCGACAACCGGCTCCTTGCTGTAACCCTTCTTGCCGGCATCTGCACTGAGAAGATCCGAAGGGGCATACTTCTTCATCGCCGTGCAAGTGGAAGCTGCTGCAGGGAGCAAACTGAGGCCGCCTGTGAATGGTGCTAGGGCGACTCCCCCAACCCACTTCCACACAACTCCACGCCTTGCGTTTGCTGTTTCGGCTGCTTTTTCTGCTTTTCGCTCGTCCGCCGCTTTTTTTTGCTCTTGCTCCGCACCACTCTTGCACCCGTTCTCGAAACCGCTCTTGTAGCCGACCTCCTGGCCGTTGTTGTAGCCATCCTGCCGGCCCAGCTTCAGGCCAACGTTGAAGCCATCCTTGCGACCGCCTAAGTACCCTAAGCACAGTCCCCCAAAGAGCGTGTATTCTTGCGGAAGTTTCCGAAATCGACTCAAGACGCTGAGGCCATTGCGCAAAACGGTCGGATGTAAGTTTAGAGGTACGGGCGCTAATCGCAGACGGATTCAGACAGGCAAGAGCCCATGAACAGCTCCAGGAAGTAAGAGTCCTGACAATTTCAATACGTTTAGGTCCGGGTTTCAATTGTCGAGGTGTTTCTCACAGCCGCTGGTGAGGAAGATTCAAGCAGTTAGCCAGCAGATCCATGCCCCACACACCACAAGCAATCGCAGATGCGTCTTCTGGCTCCAGGTTGCATTTTGTAAAGATCTTGCCTATTGTCGCGGCATAGCTTGTGCCTGCACCACATGCTCGAATTTGTGTGTCTCGTCGCTCTCCCTGCTGCTGGCTACTGTAACAAACTCCGACCGAAAGATAAGCCACATGTAGAACTAATAACTTGTAAGGCCAAGAAAGACAAGCACACACGGATCCGGCATCCAGCATCAACAAACGGTTGGGTACCTGACAACTTGCTTTACATGCTGCTGCTTGCGCACTCAATCCGTCTTGTCCTTCAGTGGCACTGAATGCACAAATCTTTCGATAACATTTACCATGATCATCCCAACAGTAAGTGTCTGATTATTGGCATTGGCATCCTTACTCAATGGTAAGTCCGTTGGGTGTACAAAAGCTGAATGTGGTAAATGAAAAAAGCTCTGATCAATAGTTTTATTTCAGTCGTTATCCTGTACGATCATAACGCTCATCTCAGATGATAAGTGACCTACTCTTGCTTCATTTCTACAGATAGGTCACGAATCACAACTCTCACTGTGTGTTAGCATATTTAGGTGCCTTGTTCCTGTATCTTCGGGTGCGGTGTTGTTGCTGCAACTCCCTCTTTGGAATGTTCTTCAACGTGAAGTCATTCCTTTTGTACGTATCCCCTTTCTCATGTCTCGCCTTGTAGCAGTGCAGTCGGATGCAAATTGTGCAGCACCAACGGTTGTCTTGGTTCTTGCATGGTCATATCCCCTGGTGTTTTCATAGGACTATGCCATGACTATGCTGTACCTATATGTTGAATTGCTATCTTTATATATGTATGTATAGGGAGAGAGAGATAGATATTCTTGCTGTCATTGTTATATATGAATGCACATTTCCGAATAAACTCCAAGAAGTACCTCTAAACGGCCCATCGGTTTGCAGGAAACAGGCTTGATAATCTACCACTGTGAACCCTGCTCCGTGCACAAGGAGCCCCACGTAGAGCTGCCAAGCTCCTTCGTCGTATCCCAACCTGATCATGGATACCAAATATCAACATGCTATGAGTTTGCTGTGAAACCGATACTACCCACAGACACCAATCTCCCCTAATCAACACATGTGGAATTCTCTATAGATTAGGGTCCCTTCTCAGATCCCAAATATTGTGTGGCGCCCTTAAAAAAAGGACCCTGAAAAGGGCCCTACTGTAGAGAACTACCCACGTAGCACTGCATACTGGAGTCGCATGCCACAGCCACGGGCGCAGGTGAAAACTGCCCCTGTAAGATAGTCTCTGAAAACAATGGCCCCAGATACAAAGATCCTTGTAAGCCCTCTATCAGCGGACCCCATGTGCAAGAGTTCCAGAATTGCTGGTGTAACATGTCGACTCTGCCCAGGTAATGTAGGGGCCTTAATAATTAGAATAGGCTTTTGGAGCCTATTATACTATAAATACAATCACGCACCCCCAAACCCTAAACCCTAAACCCTAAACCGTGTAGGTAATTACTTAGGCCCCTACAGTATGCTTTCCGACATGTCGGCGGCCTACAGAGTGCTGCAGCCAGGCGGGCCAAGTCTGCAGGCTCAAACCTAGGCCGCTCTGCAGGAACTTAAAGGGCAAGAGGTGCAGGGATTTCGGATGGGTTTAGGGTTTAGGTTTTAAGTGATTTCGGGCTGCACGGCTGTAGGGTTTAGGCTGTGTTTGTAGATTGGTCTGCAGCTCACCAAGGCGAGTAGGATGCAAGACTTTTGCAGTTTGATACGTACCCTACATCCCGCATCGAAAGAAAACGCTACACTTGACATGCACAAATGCATTTGCAAAAAAGAACCTGAAGAACTGAAGAACAAACATTTACAACAACAAATGCTGCAAAGAACCGTTAACCCCTTCGAACTCGCGATAAGTTCAGCACGGTTCAGAGTTTAGGGTTTAGGGTACCTAAACCCTAAACCCTGAACCCAAAGCCCTAAACCCTAAACCCTAAGCCCTAAACCCTAAACTTCCCTAAGCCCTAACCCTCGGCTCCTGGCGCCTCGACTTGGGGCAAAGCTTGTGTCGCCAAGGCCTTCGGAAAGCTCATAGGATGGCGACTTAATGGGGTCCTTTAAGGGTGATAGTTTAGGGTTTAGGGTTTAGTAGCTTTTGTTGAGGGTTTAGGGGTTTGGGTTTGGGGTTTAGGGCTCAAGTTCCGTTAAATGTTCCTATTCGGGTACAATACAGGGTCCCTTCAAGGGCTCCGTTTGAGCGTAATCGAAAATTTGCCTTCAACAACTCCCTAAGGGTTGAGGGTTTGATAGGGCTCCTTTAGAGGATCTACGAGGTTAGTAGGGTTTAGTAGGGTTGCCATAGGTGTTCTCGAAGGACCTTTAAGGGCGCTAGGAGATTTCGGGTTTGGGGGGATTAGGATTGGGATTAGGGTTTAGGGTTCAGGGCTTAGGATTTAGGGTTTAGGATTTAGGGTTTAGGATTTAGCGTTTAGGGTTTAGGATTTAGGGTTTAGGTTCAGGTTTTCTCCTCAGTCACTGCAAGCATCTTCACGTGTAGGTCCTAATTCCTAAATCCACAAAACCCTAACATCATACTGTTGATGATATCAATCCTGCATTACCTTGAGGGGCCTAAACTACGGGAATTATGGTATACTCCCTATTAGGGGTAATGCAGGATTTATATGATAAGCCCTATAAACCCTAAACCCCGAAAACCTAAACCCCTAAACCCTAAACCCCTGAACCCTAAACCCTAAACCTCTAAATCCTACACCCTAAACCCTGAAACCGTAGCACCCTGATCGATCCGATCCTTAAAGGAACCCTCAGATTCCCTAAACCGAAAATAGGGGCCTTCATCATTCGAAGAGGGTTTTCGGGTATAGTATACTGATACTATCAATATAAAAGGAACCCCCAAAAATAGTGTTGGTAATTATGTAGCATAGGGGCCTAAATAAAAAAACATACCACTACTGTTTTGTGGGTTCCTGTTTATAAATATAGTAGAATGGGCCCAGAACCCTATTCTAATTATTTTAAGGCCCCTACATTCTGCCCCAACCCAAACCCTAAACCCTAAACCCTAATTATTAAGGCCCCTACATTATGTCCACCTGCGTTGTTGCTTTTGGCAGCTTCTGCAGGCGCGCCAGTGACCAAGCCAAGCCTTCGTTTGACTGAGGTTACTGTGAGGCTCTATACGAGTTGGTTGGGTTTAGGGTTTAGGGTTTAGGGTTTTGGGTTCGGAGTTCTATGTGAGGCTCTATAGTTCTAGGGTTGCTAGTAGGGTTTAGGGTTTAGGGTTTAGAGTTTTGGGTTTGGAGTTCTATGAGGGGAAAGGAAGGGTCTTAAGACTTGTAGGGGCAAGCACAAGGTCTGACCAGAAGCGTTACTATCAGGGTGTTCCATACGGGGGCTCTACGAAGGTTGAAGGGTTACATGCTACAAGGGCATACTATAAGGTCTTGCTGTACAGGGTTTCCTTGAAGGGGTTCTGCAAGGGTTCCACAAGAGTTCTATAATTACGGGTTCTAGACGGGTCACTTTAAAACCCATTGCAAGGGCTACTTCGAGGGTTGCTGCAGAAAGTGTTTCGACAAAAACAGAACCGCAGTAGAAGGCACAGCCAGCATGCACATCAAGGCTGTTGTTGCCTATGCCGAAGCTACTAAATAACATTGTTCCTGCATTCTCGCAGAAATACTAGTAGCAGGAATAGTAGTAGTAGTAGTAGTAGTAGTAGTAGTAGTAGTAGTAGTCGTGGTGGTGGTAGTAGTGGTAGCAGCAGTAGTACTCTTCGTCGTCGTCGTCGTCGATGTCAGCAGCAGCGGCAGCGGCAGCAGTAAGAGGAGGAGGAGGAGGAGCAGGAGTAGAGAGAGTAGGAGTGGGAATGGGAGTGGGAGTAGCAGTAGTAGCAATAGCAGCAGTTGCAATAGCAGTAGCAGTGGCAGTAGCATTAGCAGTAGCGGCAGTGCAGCAGCAGCAGCAGCAGTAACTCGTCGTCGTCTCGGCAGCAGCAGCAGCCGCCAGAGCAGCAGCAGTCGGTCTAGTATCAGTGTGACGATCAGTGGGTATAAGACTTTTATCCAGACTGATATCTAGCCAGCTATGGGTCTCTGAGGCACCAGCGCGAGAGGTCTGCTGGCTGCAGCCTTATCAAGCAGGAGATGTTCTTCAAATTGTCTTTATTTGGCTGCAATAGATGCTGTAATGGCGGCGTCCTAAGGAGCCGGCTCCTCCGATATTCGGACGGCATTCTCCCTGGGTTGGAAAGAGTGAGGAAGACAGCTGCGCGTGTTGCATGTGTCCGGATGCATGGCTGTGAGTTCTCAAACATTGAAGCAGAAGCATCGAGCACCGCACTGGCACCTCCGCACATGCTCAGCTGCGAAGCCTGTGTGCGACAAGGCAGGGGTTGTAGGGGAACTGCAGTCACCTCTTTTTACAAACCATCAGCATGACAGAAGCCCGGCCCGCATTGCAGCTAGCTTGGCTTCCGGCCCGTTTTGGGCACACGCAGCTGTGCCAGCAGCCACAAAACCTTCGCGTGCCGAAATTTTGTCAAGCAATAGTGCATACATGCGATAAAGCTTATTGTAAATATGCAAGATGCGCGCAAGGTTCTCGTTCTGGTTGAAACATGTAGATGTAGACCCTTCTTGAATAAATCGTATTCGCGGCCTTAATATCAGGATCGCTACTATAAGCCCTACTGACCGAACGGGTTGTTAAATCAGGGGCAAGTAAATTTCAGAGCCCCCCATGCACGACAGATCCTATAAGTTCCTATACAAACCCATTACAAAACCCGACTCAACCCTAAACCCTAAACTCTAAACCCTAAACTCTAAACCCAAAACCCTTAACCCTAAACTCTAAACCCTGAACCCTAAACTCTAAACCCTAAAACCGAAACTCGACTCTGGCATCGGCCTCGACCTGCTCTTGGCTGTCCCAATGTGCTGCTTCCAGGCTGTTGGACGTCCACAGAGCCGGCGCCTAAGGTGTTGCTCAGGGTTCCGGTACAGGAATAATCAGGGTTTTGGGTTTAGGGTTTAGGGCTCAGGGTTCCTGTACAGTAATAATGGATCTACCAAGGGTTCAATAAGTCTTTGGGGTTAGGGTTTTGGGGAGGTTGGGTTTAAGGATGTCTAAGGCATGGGGTTAGCGTTTTGGGGGGGGTTGGGTTTAAGGATGTTTAAGGCTTTGGGCTTGAAGCTTGTTAGGATTCGGGGCAGATGCTTTGCGAAGCAGCCGGCATATAAGGGATGTCGTTAAGTTCCATTGTCATTGTCGCGTCAATCCTCCTTCCGTCATCGCCATCATCATCGTCGCAATGATCATGCGTATTATCTTCACCACCAACATAATCGTCATCGTCATATTAGGCCATCAAGTCATAGTCATCATCGTCATCACCAGCAGCAAAATCACCATCAACAGCCTCATCAGTATTACTATTTTCACCGTTATATGATCATCATCATCATCATCATCAGCAGCATGATCTCCAGGCAACTCGAAGCTGAGGAACGGGAAAGGGAGGAGGATAGTCAAAGAAGGAGCTCTGTGATGGCAAGGATAGGTGCGATAGTTCTTGCATGGAAGTTTAGGGTTTAGGGCTTGCGGCTTTTTCATTTCTGAGCAAAAATCATGGCGTTGCACGGCGTCAGCATATCTGGCAGTCGTTCGCAGGTGGCCTGGCGCACAAGCAGTCTGTTGTCATGTGGGAGTTTCCAAAATAAGGGGTACCTTAGTTTGGGGTTTTTACAACAAGGATCCTACTATTTAGGGCACTATATTAGGGTCCCCTAGTTTCGGAAACCGCCATGTGTGTGAAAATTGCATGTCAACCCTCTCTCGGCATGGAAGCAGCGCTAGAAACACCTTCTTAAAGGATCATGGGACTTAGTCAGTAAGGTTATAAGTCCCTGAAATGGGGTTATAAGTATAGTTACCTTAGTTATAACCCTACTTACTAAGTCCCATGATCCTTTAAGTAACCCTAAACCCTAAACCCTAAACCCTAAACCCTACTTACTGTTGGAGCCCCCCCGACTTCCCAAAGCAACACATCCCACTGGTGGCTAAGAGCATCCGAGGCCTCTGGCAAGAGCTGCGCGAGGCCGGATGCCCAGCGCTCGTAGCGTTCTTCGGGCCCTCAGCGCAGGAAGACTCAAGACCCTACCTTAAGAAGCCAAAACCCGCTTTTTTGTAGGTTCTTATTATAAACCCTAATGTGGGATTTATAGGGAGCCTACAAAAAAGTAGGTTTTGGGTTCTTAAAGTATCCTTGCACATAGACCCCCTGAACCCCTAAACCGTGGGAGTACCAAGAAAGCGTCAGGCGAAAGACCTATGGGTCTGCAAGTACGGTGGTGGTGTGTTGGTGTCTGTTTTATCGTGCTAAGCACGGTTTGTCCGTTTCTGGTCTCGAAGCAAGCAAGCAAGCAAGCCTGCACGACTCTGTCCGCCAGGCATAGGGCGGCCCACGTCTCTACATCAGATGCCCGCACTTCGAGTAGAGGAAAGGCCCGTACGGGTGCGATCCTCAAGTTGTGCCGCGCACAGCTAGCGACTCATGAACTGTCTGCTTACTGCCAGTGGGATGTTCTTGGAAATACGGCCTGGAACCCCAGACGATCCTTGCGTTGTGATCGCTACAACATGTGCCCAATCCTACGCCCGCTCTTTGCCGAGAACTCTGAAAGCAAGCGCTTGCAGAGGTCAGCCAAAACCGCAAAGAGCTGCGTGCAACTGCGATCGTTTTCGGAGTAGGCGATGCCTTTAATGTCCTGAGGTCACGTATTGACTGCGGTAGGCCATTAACGACTTCTCGGCGGCATGACACACATGTGATGCCAACATTGAATGCATAATTCTCGGACAGTTCTTAGTCGGAACGTGCCGCGGCCAAAAGCTTCAAGTGCCACTGCTGTGGAAGCCGACCCAAGACGGCATGGCCAGACTCACACGGTTTACGATGCGGTGTGCAGGGCACAGCACTTAGTCGATCAGTTTCAGTTTATGCAGCTCGGGGTCGCCTTCTTTATCGCTGTTCAGCCGATCAACACGGAAACTACGAATCGGACGTGTCCACGACGCGGTAGTACCGCGAGTGTGTTCATGGTGGGACGTCAGTACAACATATTCACCGCGCCATAGCTGAACAGGACTTGCACACACTAGCGAGAAGCTAAACGTATGAAAACGGCCTGATAAACAATGCCCAAACGCTTTCGCAACGTGCGAGTCTCTTCTTCACCTTGACCCTTGATCTGCCCTTTATCAGACCCTACTAGGGCCCTGTACCCCTAGTACCTATAAGCCTCCATTGTAGTTCCTTTTGGGGGATACCTTATAAATTCCTTAATATATAATTAATTAAACCCAAAAAAGGAACTACAATGGAGACTATAGGTAAGGGGTACCCACAAAAGTCCTGGCAGACGAGCTTCTTGCTTCTGACAGGCTGAGGAGGCTCTTCGGTACCTCCGGCATCAGCGAGTCCGCGCGCTTCACGTCGATGTTGCGCAGCAGGCAGCAGGGGCAAAGGAGAATCGCGACGCACCTGGGCCAAGTTGCCCTGAAGCCTAGCCTGGTATAAACCCGTGACCCCTGTACACACCGGACCTTAAACCTAAACCCTAAACCCCTAGACCCCTACACGCGGCTGTGGTGTGCGATGCGTCAGGCTTCAGGGCCGGTCCAGGGTTAGAAACAGAGCTTGACACCAAACATCCAGCTTCGTCTTTGTAAAGCTTCCCTGAACCATATAGTCAACCCCTAAACCCCAAACCCTCGAGCCAGAACCCTAGAAAACCCTACACCCCAAAGCCCCAAACCTTAAACCCGAAACCCTAAACCCCTAAATCCCAAAGCCCTAAACCGTAAACCCTAAACCCCTAAACCCCGAAGCCCTAAACCCCGAAACCCTAAACCCCTAAACCCCAAAGCCCTAAACCTGAAACCCTGAACCCCTAAACCCCTAAACCCGAAGCCCTAAACCCCGAAGCCCGAAACCCCTAAACCCTGAACCCCTAAACCCCGAAGCCCTAAACCCCTAAATCCCTACCGAAGCCCCGAACCTCTAAACCCCGAAGCCCTAAACCCCGAAGCTCCCAAAGCCCTAAACCCCGAAGCCCCCAAAGCCCTAAACCTTAGACCTGAAACCCTAAACCCCTACACCCCTAAATCCCTAAACCTCTAAAGCCCTAAACCTTAAACCCTGAAACCCTGAACCCCTAAACCCTGAACTCCTAAAACCCCGAAGCCCTAAACCCCTATACCCAGGAGTTCGAAGCTGAGGCTCCAACTGAGGGAAGCGATTGTAGATCTGCGTGGCCACGACGCTCAGGGCCTTGGTTGATAGCTTTGCCCGGCGTCTTACAAGGTTTAGGGTTTAGGGTTTGGGGTTTAGGGTTTACAAGGTTTAGGGTTGAGGGTTTTGGGGCTTAGGGTTTACAAGGTTTAGGGTTTAGGGTTTGGGGCTTAGGGTTTACAAGGTTTAGGGTTTAGGGTTTGGGGTTTAGGGTTTAAATGGTTTAAGGTTTAGGGTTTGGGGCTTAGGGTTTAAATGGTTTAGGGTTTAGGGTTAAGGGTCTCTTCCCGGAAACCTCAACCACAAGAACCCATCATAAACCATCACTATAGTTTGGGTGCTTCCCCGCCCCATT